GGCACTGGAGCAGCTTACGAACGGGGCTTTCTCGCCCCGGAGCTCGCAGGTAGCAATCCGCTACCTCGACCTCCGGGGCGAGAGAGCCCCGTTCGTAAGTGCAGATCCGACGTAAGTCGGATCCGCGTAAGTCGGGGACTGCCTGTAATACCTGTTTCACTATTGACTAGTAGTTCACTCCTTTTGGCCATGCTGGGCTGTCATGCAGCTATCAAACATTCGGTGTCTAACCCAGTGTGCACAATGCTTACCAACTTTGTAGACCAGTCTGGTAACAAAGTGGACTGGCTACTGATTTCAGGAGACCAGCATTATTTATTTCTAAAATGTGCTCTCTGAATTAGGAACTGGTCTTGATGATGACAAAAAATCATTCACTGTGGTGACCAAATAGGAGGAATCAATTTTGATTGACTTAAATATTGATACTGTCTAGCTCTAATTTTATATAAATTTACAATGAAAAATGTGAAGGAAATTAGTACGCTTAAAATTTCACAGCAGTAAAATGAGCAAGTCTAGCATTTTTTCATACATGTTGTTTCACTTTGTTTTCAGTATCTTGGTACATTAAGTAAAACTGTAGTCTTTGGAAAATCAAATATTCTTTGTTTGACCTTACATTTATTGGGCATGTATGGTCCTGGACATGCTTGCAATTAAGTAGTCAAACCACTAGATGGCAAGGAAAACAGATATCTTCTAGACTTAAAATCATGATTGTATGGTGCATTGATGGCTTGATAACCAGAATTTCTCAGGGGGAGACTCCAGAATAACTCTCTTTATATTATTATTTTTCAGCCCTACACAATAACTCACCTGAAACTTTCTGCTGGAATTATGATTACTGCTTCCCATAACCCAAAACAAGATAATGGTTACAAGGTACTCCTGGATAACTTATATCTTCCACTATTTTCAGACATTACTAATAATAGCACTCTATGTTCATAAAGCTATCCAGTCCTTAATCTTCAAGGTAGCCCTCGGAAGGAGGGAGGTCAGTAGTATCATCCCCTTTATACAGATGAGACAGGTGGCTGAACCAAGATATGGCAAGTTAGAGACAGAGGCAAGATTAGAACTCAGATCTTTGGCATTCTGTCCTGTGTTCATTTGCCAAGAATGTGTTGCTTTCTTGGTCTAAAATTTACATATTTTTAATTTCCGCTAATATTGCTGTTTTTTTCAGATATGTTCAGACTTTTTAAAAATTTTAAGAATTTTATAGTATTTTATAGTTAATGATTTGTTTCATGGGTCGAAGTAAACAGTTTGAACACCAAGAATAGTAGGTGACATGGGGGCTAAATATTTTTGACTGGTTTTGCTATTTAAAAATTGTCAGTTTTTGTGTACTAATAATCTTCCTTTTTTCTTGTCTTGTCTCAGGCATAGTGGATGTATATTAAATTTGAGGAATCTATTAGATTGATACAATGTATTATGGATACATATTAAATACCTAGCTAGCAAATGGGCTGAAATATAGTTTATCTCTAAATGAGATGAGCCTGATGGTGTTCTACTTGTTTTCCATGGTGGATTTAAATAGAGGGTACAACATCCTCGGGGAAAAAAAAGTTTAGGGAAATCTATATCCCAAGTATGTTGTGCTGTATTTACTATAATCAGCCATGAATTGTGCCTGGATTTAGCCAACTAAAACTAGTAAAGGTATACATGTTTAACATAACCCCTGTGTATTCTGGATACCGTTTAGGTGTATTGGGAAAATGGTGCACAGATAACATCACCTCATGACAAAGGAATCTCTCAAACTATTGAAGACAACCAAGAGCCATGGCCTCAGGCTTGGGATGACAGTCTGATTGACAGCAGTTTGCTACTTCATGATCCATATGTCACTATCAATAAGGACTACTTTAAAGACATACAAAAGCACTGCTTTCACAGGTGAGCTGTTGATGACTATCATTCTCTTGGTGACAAATCTATATTTTTAACTTGATTAACTTTAATGTTACCAGTTTCAGAAGGGTGGCCCAGTTTGTAACAGGAAAAACTTAAAAAACTATCAATAGTCTAATAGCACCTTAAAGACTAAATAGTTACAAGAGGATGATAAGAACCATTAGTTTGCACTTGGAAAGATGACTATCACCTGAGCCTAGCAACCATTAAACAAGATATACTAGAAAGCCAGGAATGTATAAAAATGATGTTGTGATATTACAAACAAGTATTGTATATTTGTTTGAGAAAGTGGTTTTAGTTCTTAGTTGCATGTACCTCTAAAGTATTTAAAAATTCTAACAAAAGAGTATAGTGAGTGAAAGATAAATAACATAGCAACATACAGCACTGTCATTCAGTTCAGCTTCTGCTCCTATGTTGAAGTCTGTTGAAATGCCATTATTTAGCTTGGGGTACTGAATCCTAACACCTGTTCTTTCCCTTCTCCTGCGCTCTATAGAACAAACTTGATAGGATGCATTGATGCAGTCAAACATAGTGATAGAGATAGGGGGTAAAAAAGCTACCTTTTTAATATAAACTGTGTTCCTTTTGGTTTCATAGTTTAACATGGTTGCAGAGTATTGAGTTGTTTGTTTCTGAACCTTGTTAAGTAACATACAGAGCATAGTGCCATGTTAATTCAACATCATTCATTTATTTGATTTCAGGAATATAAACAAGGAAACAAAGCTGAAGTTCATCCACACTTCTGTGCATGGGGTAGGCCATGAATTTGTGCAATCAGCCTTTAAAGCATTTGACTTTAAACATCCATTTGCTGTTCCTGAACAGAAAGATCCTGATCCAGAATTTCCAACAGTCAAGTACCCAAATCCCGAAGAGGGTAAAGATGTACTGGTAAATATCTTTTTAAAATACTTGCAATCTATGTTAAAAAAGTGTTTCCTATATCAGGCTGAAATTGCACCAGAAATCTAGGTATAAAAATTTTATAACACAGGGTTTAAATGTTGAGTTTCCTTACCACTAGGTTTCTTGAAAAGCTAATAAATGTCATTTCATAGTTCTAGTTTAGCTTTTAACTAACTGGTTATCTAATCATAAGATAAACTATTAGAAGATATTTTTTTCTTTAACTCTCCAGTAGAATATTCAGGATTAACCTGAGAAATAAAATTGTCATATGGCCTTAATAAAAAAACCTGAGAATGTTTATTCATCTTTAAAAGTTATCCAATTACAATGTCATTTTTAACAACATGAATCCAGCAGCTGTTAACATTTAAACTACAGTGTAAGATGACATCAGATATAGAGATCTAAGGCCTTACCTGCAAATGTCCATGGGAGCAACCTGACTTGTATGAATGGTCCCCTAACTTCAGTGCAGTCTCATTGAATTGAATGGGCTTTGAACCAACTCCAAAATAAGTATGATGAATAAATTAAATCATACTCTGTGGCTTACTTGAATACTGCTGCCCATTTATCTCTGCAATAGTGAGGGGGTCCCCTCAGTACTAGTATGGTGTTTTCTGCTATAAACATAGCTTTGTGGATTCAAGTGAAAAATGGGAATGTTACAGGCCTATAGGAAAGTGAAAATACTTTTAATATTAACCCTTCTCTGGTGTTAAACTTTACCATTTTTTTCTAGATATTATCTTTTGCTTTGGCTGAAAAAGAAGGGGCTGGAATTATCTTAGCAAATGACCCAGATGCTGATAGACTCCTTGTTGCAGAGAAACAAGAAAGGTATAGTAATAAAAAATATGCTGTAGGTCAACCACAGCTATTTGATGTGAATCCTGAATTAACTCTGGGAACATTTGTGGCTTGTATTAGGCAGTAGGTCAGACTAGATGATGATTGTAATGATTCTTTTCGGTTTTGCACATAGTTTGTTTGTTTGTTCTGTTTGTTAAAGAAAACCCTGAGAGCTCTAAAAGTTTGTTTAGGGGAGGGAATTGATAGCTATATTGCAATAGCACCCAAGAGATTGCAGTGCTGACTTAAGAGTCCATAGTGCTAGGTAATGTACAAAAATAAGACACATGTGAAGAGACAGTCCTTACCTCAAATATCTTAGTCTATTTTACAGCATATCAAGATTCTTAACTAGAAATCTTCTGTAGTAGATTGCAAAAATCCTTTCTTGCTCATTTCATTTAGCAAGTAGTAACTAGCATTTGTAATTCCATATCACTCTTTCATTTACCTCCACAGTGAGGGGGACTGCACCATTTTTTCATATCCACCCCCTACTATCTTTTTCCCAGTGCAAGAACAGGGGGTAGAGATTTACTAAATATACTAAGATATATTTATTAGACATATTGGGACTGATTATCAGAGATTCTGTATATCTGCAACTCACTTTGACTCCTGTGAGATTTGTAGGTACTCAGTAACTTCTGATGATCTGGCTACTAGTTCTCAGTTCCATTGTAAACCATGTATAGCTGGATATTTGTGTCTGTCTAGATTCTGTTGCTGGGGCCACAAAAAGTAAGCTCGTTTGGGTGGGTCCTGCCACATTTGTCAAATGTGTTTGCGGCCTATGCAACTTGTAATTCTGGCTCACCATCCAGTAGTTTCCTTTAGTGACCTACACCACACAGACTGCTGCTAAAAAGCTGTAGCTGATAGCTGTTCACTTGGAGTGTGCCATCAAATACTACCATCCAGAAATTTGATGTTTCTCATTTTGCCTAATCTGGTAGAACAAAAGTTGATCTGTACAGAGCTGCACTGAACGTCAGATTTTTCATTTCTTTACAGTATGGAATAGCATTGTGCTGCTGCTGGCAAGAGCAATGTGGATGATATTTCACTGTGTATGAGTTAGCAGAGTGATGTGAAACAGTCTCCTACTGTGGTTGTTGAAATAGAGAGGTTTGAGATTATACCACTCAGATGAACACAGAGTCTCTCAAGCTCCCACAGAGGAGAGCACAAGAATTCTTTCTCCACACCAGAATCACTGAGATCCTCTTCATTCCTACAACTCCAGAGTTTTTCATTGTCTCAGCTGTTAGAACTAGAGAAACCTGTGAAGAGGAATGGGCTTATCAGCACCCTCGCCTCTGCATCCATTAAGGACATGTAGATGAAGCCTGTCATCTTTTACTCTAAAAAGTTTTATGCTGTGTAGTTGTAGCCATGTCAATGCCACAATATTAATATTCAGCCAGCATGCTACCTGTGTTTGCCTTTATCTCCTCTCTACTGCTCTTGCACAATGATGCATGCATTGAAGTTTTAAATCAAAAGTACATTTCAGTCAGGAACAGAATTTCCAAGTCCACTTGCATACCAGCAAAAATACAATGTAAAGAGTAAATGTGTTAACTAGGGGGAAAAAGGTGCAAGCAGCTAACGATGTTGCATTTGTGAAACTTACACACAAGATTTCCTCTGCATTGAGAGAAAAGTAAATGCTTCTACAGGGACATTTACCCAGAGCGAAGTAGGGATGTAAAATCCCTTCTAATCAGTTGACTGGTGAAATGTTATGATTAAGTGGTATCGTGGGAGTTAGGGGTCCGGCCCTGTGGAGTTGTCCATTCACTGGTGACCAGTAAGCATCACCTGGTAAGTTGTTCGTATTTCTAGAGCAGAGTGCCAAACACATCTTTTTTTAAATCTGACTTTAATATTCCATGTTAGAAACTCTGCCTGTGGTTTAGCACACTTACATCAATGTGTGAACTTGCTTCTCTTTGCCTCTTTCCTAATCTCTTGGACAGCCATAGTCCTTGCATTTTCAATCCATTCCTGTCCTCTTCCTCTAATTCCTTTTGAAGATGTTTGTACACTAATTAGTATATTAAGAATGGACTTCTACAGTGTCTGTACTTCTCCCTTGACAGAAACTCCTGTTAGAGCACAAGTAGTTTGTCACCTGCTATTACACTAAACTGTTGCTGTGCATTACTTTGTACCTGTTGGCATCAATAGATGCAAGAAACTGAGGCTGCTTCTCTTTCACAACAGGTACTGTTTTTCTAGGTCTTGATTTATGTCAGCTTTAGTGATGTCTTTGTTCCCCTTTATAACTGGATTTTTTTTTACCAGTTTTGTCAGCTCTCCTTTTTTGCTTTTCCCTTCATCATTTTCCTTGCTCTTCCAATAATTGAGTCAGTTTTGACCCTTTTGATATTTCTCTGTTTGAGACTTTTCCATTCTTGATGACCCAGTATCCAGATATACTTGTGATTAAGTGAAAAGTAGTAGTCCAGACTGCCATTGACCCCACTTAAATAATGGTCATTGAGTACCAAGTGTGTTCCCCCCTGCCCTCCATGTCATGTTGGTGTTATAGCTTGTGAATATGAGGACTTCTTTATTAAAGTAGATGCTCCAAAACACCTTAGTTTAAAATTTAAAAACATACTTATTCTCAGTTCTCCTCAGCTTTAACAGTTGTGTTGTCAGATGAGAATAGTGAATGGTTGAAGCTTTTTACAGGCACATATACCAATGGGAATGGTAAGAAGATGTCTTATTTTAGTTGGATAAAAAAGTAAAGAATATTTTAAAATGGAAAATAAGACACTTAGTTCCCATTGATTTTCAGTGGGTGTTGAATGTTTAATGAAATACACCCCCATAATGACTAGATGACTTCATTTTCTTTTACATTGGTCATCTACATTGTTTTTTAATGCTTACATTGCATTTTGTTTTCAGTGGTGAGTGGAAAGTGTTTTCTGGCAATGAGTTGGGTGCTCTCTTAGGATGGTGGATCTTCACTTGCTGGAAAAATCAGAATCAAGATCCTAGTGCCATCAAAGATGTGTACATGTTGTCCAGCACGGTATCTTCCAAAATCTTGAGAGCAATTGCTCTGAAGGAAGGCTTTCACTTTGAGGTAAACTGTTGTGTAAAAGTCTAATCTTGTTTTTGTTTTTTCTGTGCAACATATTTGTTTTTTCTGTGCAACATATCTTACATTTCTCTCCCTGCAATATCACTATAGGAGACATTGACAGGTTTCAAGTGGATGGGAAATCGAGCCAAGCAGCTCATGGACCAGGGGAAAACTGTTTTATTTGCATTTGAAGAAGCAATAGGTAAGAAATGAACAGTACAAATAGCTCTAGTGCACTGTATAACAGTAAAGATCAGTTCTGCTTCAAAAAGTGGATATGTAAAAATGCCATCATTTTAACACTCATAACCCATGAGTGTTAAGTATCTGATCTACCTGGCTAAGTTTTTACTACAGATTGGACTTCACTGATCCGGCATCCTTGGGACCTAAGTGGTCCCAAAAGAAGGATTTTGCTAGACCAGGGGTGGTTATCTCGGCCCCCCAGCTCGGCTTCGCTCCTGGTCTAGTCTAGTCTTCCAGCAGGCTTCCTATGCATGAGCATTCCTACTCCATCCCACATTCCGGCCCCATCAACTATGCCACAATGGCAACTGACCCCACCAGTCCGCAGTCCTGCCACCAGGACAACCTCTCCCCCCAACTCCCTGTGGTAGACTGCTGCTCAGCCACCAGGATTTCTGGGCAGCACTGGCCCTGCTGTCGGGGCTCCTGACTCTGCCAGCTCTGTTGCAGCAGCCCCGCAGTCCTGCTGCCAGGGCTCCTGGCCCCACCACAGCAGACCGCAGTCTCGCCAAAGCCCGCTGATGGAACAGTCACCCTGCCACTGGCTCAACCAGACTCCCACAGCAGAGATCCCAGCCACTGGCCTCCCTGCAAGAAGCCTGGCTCAGTTCTTGGCTCCCACAAGGCTCCTGCCTCTGGCCTTCTACTGGGTTTCTGTGGTCCACGGACATTGACGGAGTAGGGATTCCCAGTTGAGAGAGGTTCAACCTGTACTTCCTCTAGCACTGCAGAGGTGATGCACACATGGTAATGAGCTGGTTTGTACATTATAATTGGAATTGTTAACATAGTTACAGGGGTTGCATAAGTCACAAAGAAACCAAATTAACTTGGAATCTGAGGTTGAAGTTTCCATAGATGGCAATTTTAAAATAACAATTGGGTTTTTTTTATGAATTGACACACAAATTGGGATAACTCATGCTATATGGGAAGCTACTGTTTTTTTGGGGGGGAATAGCACTCCAACACCTAGTGCAAGTGTGCCTTTTGGTGATGCATTGGCAGTAACACATGTTGCCATATAGAAAGAATCAAATTTATGACCAAACTCAGTGACTAAGCTTCCCCATTGTGTTTTTTAACTTGTAAAAGTACCTCTTGTGACATGCTCTAGAAATGGTTGGAAAATGTTAAATGGATTTTTGTACGGTACTGAAGTGTGTGATTTCATCTCTTCAGGTGATTTTTCTGCACAAAATGTTGCAATTTAGCATATTACAATTTTTATTGATGCTTTTCCTAATATAAGAACATGAGGATACTTGATTACTATATAAACTTTCAACTTCTGCAGTGTATCTGTATTTTTGGTCAACCTTGTTTTTTCTGTATACTCTATATGCTTTTGTTACAGTTTTTTATATGCTTTCTTTTATTTAGGATATATGTGCAGCCCTGTTGTCCTGGACAAAGATGGTGTCAGTGCTGCTGTAATAACTGCAGAGATGTCTAGTTGGCTAGCAACTAAGAATTTGTCTTTGTCTCAGCAGCTGAAAGCTATATATGAAGAGTGAGTTTAATTTAATTGTCTCATTTTCAGATATTCACCATCTCAATGCTTTAGTTAACTTGCTACTTAATATTGTGTAATATAGTATCGAGGCAAAGTACTTTTACAACACTAATTATCTATCTACAAGTTGCCCTGTTTCATAAAAACAAAGCTTTATTCTCTTCCCACATCTTAAGAATAAAGTATACAGTTGCCTCAACTAACTGTTCAGTTTGAATCTTATGACCCCTTATTCATGTGACTGTGCATATCTCTTCGACAATAATGAGATTTGAAAATATGCCAGAAACCAAATGGAGCCTCTGTTGCAGTTGTATTAGTCCCAGAGAGAGAGAGACAAGGTGGGTAAGGTAATATTTATTGGATCAACTTCTGTTGGTGAAAGAGACAAGCTTTGGAACTACATAGAGTTTTTCAGGTCAGAGTGTGGTAATCAGTGTCACTGTTAAATATAAGCTGGAATAGATTGTTTAGCATAAGAAGTTAACACACATTCTAAAGGGACTTTTAAGGTGAAATGGCCTGTTAACACCCCTGCAGTCATAGGACAAAAACCAAAGGTTTAGTGGGTTACACCACGATGCTGTAATAAGCCATACATTCAGTATAATTAAGGCCATGAGTTTTAGTAACTAGCACAGTTGTGCGTGCATTTAGGCTCCTAGGCTTGTCTTTTGAAGGCTTGTGTATCTTGGGAAATGATCCACCATAGGGATCTTCTGTAGGCTTCACAAGATACATAAACAAAGGAGCTTTTCAGTAGCTTGAAAGCTTGTTTCTTTCACAAACAGAAGTTAGACCAATAAAAGATACTATCTCATTCATTCATCCACCTTTTCTCTCTCATATCCTGAGACCAACACAGCTACAATACTGTCATGGGTCCATTCAGTTCTTGGTGTGTATATATAATGCCTTTTAAAATGCCAAAGAAATGTGTTTGACTGGGAACTAGAGCTGCGATTCTACACAGGACTGGGACCCTGTCTTTTTATTAGGGATGTTGAGTATCGGTTAATTGATTAGTCGAGTAACCTCATGAATTCTTATCGGTTAGTCGACTATTCATTATTCCCCGGGGCTGGGACAGGCAGCCAGTGTGCTCTGACCTCACTCCCAAGGAGCCCCCCTGCCACTCCATACTGGGTGGGTGCCAGGTGGGAGCTGGTCTATGAGGGGAGTCAGTTTATAAGCCAGCTCCTCTCACGGACCGCTGCCTGGTGCCCCTCTGATAAAGAGGCAGCAGTGTAGAGTTATAGTAGTCCCTCTCTAGGAGAAGGGGGTCTGAGCTCCCGGACCTGGTTGGAGCTGGAACGGAGTTGGACTGCCTGCCCACTTGGCTCCTAATGTATTTTAAATGCAGAGCCGCAGCAGGGGTAGGTCCTGGACCCAGTGTGAACGGAGGGGGGCCCTCAGGGAGGGAAATGCATGTAGTCCATAGTATTAACGTACAGTAGACTTCTAATAATCCGGCACCTTTGGGACCTAGGTGATGCCGGATTATCGGATATGCTGGAGTATCGGGAGGTACTCCAGCGGGGGGCTGTGACAGGTCT